TTACTTGAAAAAGCTCCTACTTAGAAAAAAATCGGAATTGGCCTAGAAAATTGCAATCAGTGCAATTTTCTAGGCCAATTCCCTGTAAAGATTTCACTGTGCCAAATCATTACAGTGATGTTTATAGGGTTACGTTAAGTACAACGTGGATGAGTTTTCTGTAGTCAAAGACACAATGAGAAATTCAAATGTAAAATATTTAGAGTTAAAAAAGAAAAACAGGAAACTGATTTCTGTTTCTCTCTTTTTTTGAGGTTGGATAAATAAATGTGAATGTTAAAATAAACGCACCCTTTTGAATACAGAGAATTGCAGCCTTGCTTCACATGTTTTGTTTTTTCATAGTCAATAAAGCACCCTCCTCTTTAATGGTGTACCATCAGAAATACTCTGAAGTGTTTCCTCTTGTGCGCCACTGATACATTTTGGCCTGCAAATGTATCGCACATATGGTATCTCGCTCTGTGTCCAACTTATTGACATACATTCACATTGGTATACTACAGATATACTAGTAGATTTTGTTATAAGACGGAGTGACTTGCAGTTTACAAGCCATTAAATTTTCCATATAAAATCAGAGCATACTGAATTGATTTCCTTCATAAAAACGCTCATAAATGTGAACGCTAACTCACAAGAATTGACTGTTTTTAAGCTGTTTCAGGGCGTTTTTGATGTTGGAAATAGAACCACGAAACTGCTTCTGACACTGTAAAGTATATAGCCTATGCTATATGTTAATATATTTTTTGTCAAACAGGAGCATGTTCTTACAAACTTGGGTGTGAGAGTGCAAAGACCCAGACAAACTCTGACTGGTTTGGCCTTTTCCCTTCCAAATCCCGGGGTGTGGTGTCAAGATAAGTGTTATGCAACAATACCTCACTGCATGAACTCAGGCTTTGCTTTTTTTATACAGGAAGCCCAAGTCTGAGTCAGTTACAAACATTTCTGCCAACTTGGCTTCAGCCACTCACGAGCATGCTACACAACCAACTGATTCCCACCTATAGGTTTTTTGGCTGAAGGAGTGACTTCCGTTGACTTAAAGGTTTTTTTTTAAAGGTACTTGTAATTTACTTCTCTTTGTTAAAGCGGACAGGTCACAGTCTTTATTTTATTTTATTTTATTTTATTTTATTTTATTTTATTTTATTTTATTTTATTTTATTTTATTTTATTTTATTTTATTTTATTTTATTTTATTAAACAATGTATATTTATTAATATATGGTGGTGGTCAGAGGGCCCGGTGGCGCCAGTGTTCGGCAGTTTCGCCTCTGTCAGTGTGCCCCAGGGTGGCTGTGGCTACAATGTAGCTTGCCATCACCAGTGTGTGATTGTGTGTGTGTGAATGGGTGGATGGCTGAATGTGTAAAGCGCTTTGGGGTCCTTAGGGACTAGTAAAGCGCTATACAAATATAGGCCATTTACCATTACCATTAAGAGTTTTTGAAAAAGAGAAATGTATATATAAAGACACATAATTAAAAAGGTCCTGCCAGCTCATAAACATGCTGTGATAAATGAAAACAAAAAAAACCTAAAACAAAAACATTATTGCACTCATGTCTCCATATTTGCCACAAAAGAAAAGGATGGCTGCCAGGTTGCAAAGAAAAGTTCATTTGAGTCTTTGCTAAAACAACAGACCTTTTCTAGTTGTAAGTAGTAGATGACAAACTTAATTCCAGTTGAGGAGTCCTTCCGTTTTGCACAGACCTTCTGGCCAAAAGTGAGCAAAAAGGTAATGATGTCAGCTTGGGCCATACTTAAATTTACATCTTGGGGAGTTACTCCAAATATTGCCATAATAATACATCATGCAACACTCTGTCCAGATTTTTTTTTGAAACAGAGCACCAAAAGGCTGTTTAAAATGATCACATGCAGGGTTCAGATCACTGTTGATTGTACCTAATCTGACTTCAAACCAGCTGGTAGATGTTTTTCATTCGAATAACAATCTAATTAGAAATTCAGATTTGTGAGACTACTTTGCATTTCTCTTGTTTTCAGGTATTTACCTTTCACCTTTGAACTTCTGTGCTGGGAACATGAAGTAAATAAACAAGCACATTCTCCCACGGCAACATCAGTAAACAGTAAAATCCTAGTTGTGCGTTGGTGAATCAGAATTGTATATCTTAATGAAAACACAATTTTATCTGCAGTACAAGTATTTTTATTTTAATACTTATGATCCATTTTGTTAATATATAGTTTCATTTTAATAAATCTGTTGTTTTGTTAGGTTAATGTTTGCTTTTACCTAAGCAGAGCATTTATTTTTATCCGCATTCTTTGCACAACCTGCAGTATCCAAACAGTTTATTGTCATAAACACTGGAAGAATTAACCTCTCATGTACAAAGTTCATTAAAAAAAATATTTATTTATTTATTTATTAAACTAAATGTAATTCAGTTAAATGTTACAAACCCTAAAATGATGAGAATGTGTGCTTCTATGTTCTTTTATTATTATTTATTTTATTATTTATTATTTATTTTTCTTTTATGTTCAAGTTCAACTTTTTCTTAGCATTGACAAAAAAAAAAAGGGGGGGGGGGATAAAAACCTGGTTAAACCAGTCACCAAGCTGTTACA